GTAATTTAAATTTCTTTTGGTCATTTGATATTTTTCCTAAAAGATTCAATGAAAACTTCAAACTGGTTTTTGTGGCAGTTATCATAACTCCTGGAAAATAATTGTAGGCATCCCAAAGGAATGAACAGCTCTGCCTCCAGAGAGCAGTTGTTTTAACAGAATAATGTATTGCCTCTTTCTCAAAGTAACTAAATTTTGTTCTGTTTCAATACCAATTTTAAAAATGTAGGTACATTGGTGTGGGATGTACTAGAATGAAGTCTCTCAATTGAAAATGAAATCCTCAGTTAAAACATTTTTAGGAAGATATAGAATCCATCCTAGCAAAAGTGCAGACAGTTGTTACTATCACTGCTGAAAATGGACACAATTTCCAAATAGAGTTTCACTGTGAAAGTCCCAAAAGTATTTAAGCATCTCCAGGATAATGCTGAAGTAGTACGAGAAGTTTTTTCTTATTCTGGCTTTAGAGTCGTACTAGGTAGTCCTTCACTTTTTCAGTTTACGAAGACTGGGTTTGCATCCTGCAATTAGCCGCAGCTCATCTACCTGCCACATGGGTGTGCTCCCTTCATATTCATCTATGAATCTGCAGTACAAATAACTTCAAAAGGATGACTGTCCTGACTATTCAAAAGTATATAGTAACCAAATCCAACAGCAATCTTCTACAGTCTGGTCTACAGAAGTAAATCCATATTTTTCTCAAATTGTTGCATAAGAGGATAATGAGTTCAGGATATTGTATATGCATTCTAGAAGAGTATGAGAGTATCCATTTTTCGTTTTAAAAACAAAACTATTATCTGACACATCCAAACATAGAAAATAAATGTTTGGTTTAATTATTGAGAACAAATAAGAACCAAGTTGTGTTTCTGAAAACATTGCTTAAAAGAATGATGTCCTCAAATTTCAGAATCATAAAAACTCCCTTCTTTCTTCATCCTACCAGAACAAAAGGGAAGAAAAAATATTTAAGCACCACAAAGATATGATATATAGAATAACCGAAAGCACATATTCCGGTGGAGAAAAATTCTCTGTGCGAGTCCAGAAGCTCAGAAGACTAAACCTCTAGTCCCAGTGACCGACCCAGATTGGACCTTACGCACTTATCCTGGGAAATGTATATATGCCTTCATTTGTGAAGAAAAAAATAGAGAATAGACCCAAAGGTTTGCAACAATCTTGTTCAAAAAGCACCAACATAAACCTTCCAAATGTTGAATTGCAACATGTAGCTGCTCCAGTCAGCAGAGGCATTAATGAAAGATGCTGGGAGTTGTAGTTATTCAGCATAAGAAAGCTGTAATTTCTTCATACTGTAATCCCACAACATATTATAATCCCACAACATATTAATCTATTTATTGAATAAGCAAAGACCTTACTAAATCATAACCTGCTATTTACATATTGGATGGATTTACACAACATGCTAAACAATTTTTTATTTTGAAGACTACATGAAACCATGTAATTAGTTGATAAAGTGAAATTTGACTGATTATTACATCATACTACTGCTATTTGTTCACTATGGACATTGTGTCATGAGTATTTAAAATATTGTTTTTAGAAGAAAGTATAAGCTAAATTCATTTAGCTATTTTATCTTTTTCTGACCTATTATCCATCAGATCTGCTGGACTGTAACTCCCATCATCCTTGATAATAGTAGGTATCTAATATATCTGTAGGACAACAGGTTTGCCAAGCATATCTTATATATTATTCCCATTGGATTGATAATTACCTTTCTTAAACATTTTGGTTGGGTTGGGTCAAAAATATCTCTAAGGTTATACTGTAAAGAAAGGCATATGGAAATCTCTTTTTATTTGTGCATGATTTGGAGTTATATTAAAATATGTATGCATATTTGTATATATTTTTGTCCATATGCACAACATTTAAAGTAGGGATAGGCAACATAGAATTGGATATGAGAAAGTACACATATTAATTTGCTCTCCATTTCTAAATCACATGTTTTTCCTCTCTTCCTTCTCTTAGCTTTATGTGAAAGTAGAATAATGCACATATGGAGAAGTTTTGAAGGCAAGGGAAAAGTAGAAATGATATATGTCACAACTGTTGGGAAGTATGATGTCTTTGAACATAGGATGAGGTCAAGCATAGCTGTTTACATAGGTCTTTCTGATTTTTCTTATGCCAGCACAAATCCCTATGTGACTTTAGGGCATGTTCACAAATCATCAGTTGTTAAGAAACAGTTATCTGTTGTCCAAACTAAGGAACTTAATATAAATTATATATTTTTACTTTATGAATAAAAGACAGCTCCTGAAGTTCCATGTCAGATCAAGATTATGAAGTTGCTTGGAAGGATTGTCTGAGGAAAGAGATGGAAACATTTAATTACAATATAGTCCAGTTCCAAATGACAATATGTATATGTGCAGTTATGAATTTTAGATGAAGGGCCTCAGTTTCTGTTAAAGGCTTTTCAAAAACTACAGGTAGTCCTCGACTTACAACAGTTCATTTAGTGACCATTCAAAGTTACAATGGCACTGAAAACAGTGACTTATAACCGTTTTTTACACTTATATCTGTGGCAGCATTGACTTAACAACCATGTTATTAATGTAACAATTGCAGCGATGCACTTAACAACTATGGCAAAGGTTGTAAAATGGGGCAACATAAGCATAAAATGCTTAGCAACATAAATTTTGGACTCAATTATGGTCATAAGTTGAAGACTACTTATAGCAACCTTCTTGCAAAATGTTCCATTTCTCACCTCATAGAAAGAAGAAAATGATCCTAAACAAAGATGCTGCTCTGTTTGTTGACACAATAAGACTGAAGAAGAAAGATTGTTTAAGGGCCATTATCACCATGATGGGGGTGAATGTAAACTCTTAATTCTGATCAAATTTGCTTCTAGTCCAGTGATCACCAACCAGTGGGCCGGGGACCACTGGTGGCCCGTGAGAAAATTTTGGTGGTCTGCAAAGAAATGTCACCCCCAAAGCAATTAATCCAGACTGTGCAGGAACACAAGGCTGTGCCACCCACATAGCCTGTGGGAACACAAGGCTTGTGTTGCTTGCATTGCAAACAACACGAGGTAGTGAGGGGAGGGGGGAAAGGGCAGAGGAGGGAATTTGCCCCACTCGCTTCGCCTGGCCACCGGGCTGTTTTTTTCCGCTTCTTTCTTCTACTGCTTTTGGCTGCATGCAAGGAAAGCAGCAAAAGTCCTTCTTTTTCTCCTCCAAGTTCCGGCAGAAGAGTCTTTGGGACGCTGCAAGACATCCTGCTCCAAGAGGCTGCCTTGGTATGACAAGTCACACAGAGACTAATTTCTGGTGGAGTTTGGGGGAGAGAAAGAAAGATTTCTGCTGCTTCTGCTGCTTTCCTTGCGTGAAGCCAAAAGTCTCTCTCTCCCCCTGAAAACAGAGCTGGAGACAGTATCCTGCTATCCCAAAAAAAGAATGATCTATCGGTAGGAAAACGGGGTGGGGAATTTTCCTGCAGACTTTTTTGGGGGATTTGCCCAGGGCCTCTGGTTCACAGGATTTAAAATTATGAGTTTGGTGGTCCCTGAGGTTCAAAAGATTGGTGACTCCTGTTCTAGTCTACTGATTTGGTAAACAAGATTAGCAAATAAGGAGGCTCTGCTTGTGAAATACTATGGTCACTGTTGAGGTAATTCCCCGTTAGGAGAATGAGTGCATACAGGGAGACGTATTTGAGAGAAGCACGCAGATACACTGTACAGTAAATATAGGTTTTTACTTCCAGAAACTTTTAAGCCAAGTTCAAACACAGTCCAAAGTCATTCACAGGTAAGTCAGTCAGTTTTCAGTCCAGGGATAATCCAGTAACAAATTCCAGTGTCAAAAACAGTTCAGTATCAGACTTACATCAAATCCAAGAATATCAGTCAATTAGGAGGAACTGCAAAACTCTCCAACAGAAGGAAAAGGGATACTCACTGAGACTAAAAAACCCCAGGTTTCTGGCTCCATCTTATGGCTGTTTGAGAAACCACACCCAATTACAATTTTTGCATTTTTTAAAAGAGACAGTATTAAAATGTCTATCCTGGTTTATATATTTCCAACCCAAATACCTGTTAGGTGACTTATATTCCTAACAGTCATCTTTGTTTTTCAGACCTGAATTAGGTGCTCTTTAAGACTGGCTTTCATGTTACTGAGAAAACCTCAAAATGTTAGAATCCATTTAACCCATAATGGATTTTGTCAGATCAGTTTAAAGCAGGGGACCCCAACCTTTTTGATTCCATGGACCAGTGGCAGTGAGATTTCATTAAAATGGATGAAGTATTACAGTACAGCAAATTAAAATATTCTTTCACTGGCTTCTAAATCATATTATTTTAATGTGTATTGATTAGATTTATATCTCATTCTTCATCCACAAGTGAAAAATAGCATATCTAACACTCCCTTCTTCCAGGTTTTTCCTCACAGTCCTGAGGGATAGTTTGGGCTGAGAGATAGAAATTGGCCCAAAATCAGCTGCTGAGTTTGCATGATTTAGAATAAAATTGAACTTGCCCTCCCAGTCTCAATCCAAGATCTTTATGTAAGTCTTTACATCAAATCTTAATCTAGAAGTTCATGAAGTCTTGAATATTTTTAAAACCTATTTTGTGGCTTGCGTTTCTTGCTTTTATAGTTATGCAACAATAGGTCACTGGTAAATTTAACAGGACAGAGTACAGATGTGGAACAAATCCTATTAAGAGTTGTTTTAGGCAAACGTTTCATAAGAAAAAAGGCAGGAGTGGCAAATGGCCAGGTTGTCTTTCATGGAAATAAGTCTAAATAGACTTAATACACAAGAGTGCTTGGAAAGAAATTCAGATATGCAAGGTGCTATAAGAATAAATTACCCACAGTAATAATACTATATGGTTTTAGAGTAAATCTTGGCTACTTTGGTAAGTTTGGAAGTTGACTATGTGACATATTTTTTTCTTTTCACTTGTGCTGCAGACATTATTCGCAGTGATATTGCATTGGATAAACAAAAAGGCTGTAAGATTGCCCAGCATCCTGACATCATGTTGGAATTACAAAGAGAAAAGGCAGCTCAGATGCACCTGGTTCTTCTCAAGGAGCAATTCTCTAACACCTACACAAATCTCACACTTACAGGTAAGGCTGCAAGCTAAGGATCGTTGTTTCATAGAAATTGTAGTATAATATAGCTGCTCATATTTTATGACAAAAAGAGAAATAAAATTGTTAATGAAAGCCTACCGTTGACAGACTAAAATGTAATATCAGAGAACAAGGCTAGATTGGAAAGCTGAAAACTGCCCCAGAAGAAGGCAGTGGCAAACCATTTCTGTTCTGCTGCCAAGAAAACTGAGTGGATCCATCCATAAAGTTAGCAGTAGTTAAAGCTTGACTTGAAAGAGAATTTATAGCTTTGGGGCCATGGGAAGATTCTGTACAGATAGCACAACTGGAATGTTGTACACATTAAAATATGGTCTTGCGTTTGCCTCCTTACTTTGCTGGCAACTTGAATATTTATAAGAGAATATATCCAATATTATAGAAAATTCATATTAGAAAAGGACATATAAGGAGGGTGCACAAAGGGCAAATTCTCCTATCTGGAGAAATTCATGCATTAGTCATAATAGGCTTGGATGCCTAACAATTTCTCATGGCATTGTATCAGGAAGACTTGAACTTTGGCTATCACTTGGGTTCCCTTAGTGGAGCCATGAAAGCAAGACTTATTAATCACCATTTAAATGTGAAAGCAAAGTTTAATTGCACTAAAAACTTCAGTTTTATGTTCATATTAAATTCATTAAACTCACATATTTTTGGAACTATTATTTATTTTATTAAGTTTCCATGGTGCCTGTCTTGCCAAGGTGACTCTAGTCAGCTTACAGTTATTCAATGAAAATATCATATAAAACATTAAAACAATACATAAAGATCATGAATTTAAAATTCAGTTAAAATTCAATTGACCAGCCTGGAGGAAGGAAGCAAAGTGTCCCTGGCAAGAAGGTAGGGTCTGTCCAACTTTAATTAACTCCAAGACACCACTTCCTCATTGGGGCTCCAAGCCAGTTGGCAGAGCCAGCCTGTTCAGAAGGCCTAAAAGGGTGGATGGACCTCATCTCGGGGGAGCAGGATGTTCCAGAGTCTGGGTGCTCTGGCAGAAAAGACTCTTCTCCCACCACCGTAATTCCTTTACTGACTGGAACCTCAGCATGCCTCTTCTGCCAGCCTGGATGAGACAGACTAATCCTCTTGCAATGAGGTGACTCCTTAGATAACCTGGACTCATGCCGTGAAGGGTTATAAAGGTTATAAACCAACACATTGAATTTGACCTGGAAGAAAACTGGCAGCCGGTGCAGTTTGCAGAACAATGGTGTAATGTGAGCCACCCTAGAGGCCCCCAAAACTGCTGGTGCAGCTGCATTCTGTACCAGTTGAAGCTTCTGGATTTTCTTCAAGGATAGCTAATGTAGAGCACATTGAATAGTTCAACTGTGAGATGACCAGGGCTTGAGTGGCTGAGTAGAGGGACTCCAAATGCAGGAAAGGGTGCAATTAGTGCACAACATAAAGTTGCGCAAAGAGTCTCCTAGCCATGAGTGCCACTTGCACATTGATCAGGATTCACAAGTCCAGGGGAGCCCCAAGTTATGCACTGGGTCTGCCTGGGTAGTGCAACACCCTCCAGAATTAAAGATGTTAGGGTCCTGGAACCTAGAATGCACTTATAGCCACTCAATCTTACCATGGTTCAGGCAAAGTCTGATGTCCCACATCTAGACTTCCACTGCCTCTAGGCACCATGAGAGGTCAGTGACAACATCACATTGTAATGGGACAACTTACCGCAGGACAACTCATCACAGCCAACTCACCGTGGGATCACACACTACAGGACTTCAACAAATAAAAAAAGTTAAATTAATTTGACTAGAACCATATTTGATAATAATGAAATAAAGTCAATTCAGAAATACAAGAGTTACAATAATTTCAACAAAAATGTAATCAGCAATAATAAAAGTAACAGAGCCTTTGAATTGTCCTGTGGCAAGTTGGCCGTGGTCAGTTGTCCTAGACCTGCATCACTTGGCTCAAGTGATATATTCCATACACATTTTGGATTTCTATTTTAAAAATCCGTTAATCAGTGTTCTGCATTTTGAAGAATTATCCCTTATTTCACATATCTTAGATTTAATGTAAAAATACATACCTTACTTATTTTCAATATTGGCTTATTTTCAGAATATGGCCTTGAGATAAGTAATTTTTTTTATATGATCTTAATTTATCTAAATCTAGATGCAGTATTACACTTAAAATATTTTATCTTATTAATAAATAGAACATTTTTACAGGCACTTGTAAGATGGTAAAAACTTTTGGGATATGTGTGAGGGGTAGAGTGACTTTAATTTTCACTTAATCTCTGTTATAATTTATTATTTTAAAAAATAATAATTATAGCTATTTTGCAGCATAGTTTTCATGAGAGAGACAGCACTGCTTCTCTAAAGGGTTAATTACTATTTCTTTTTTAAAAGGGCCCGATTGCAGAGGCAGAGGATAATTGATAGACTGTAATAGAAATTTACAGATATTTACATGTGTCTTTGCCCACACAAAGTGAATCAAGGCAGTTTGTAGCGTTTTGGCAGTGCTGAAAATAGCAGTGCACAAGGTTTTTTAATTTTTGTTTTTAAACGAAAGCTTTGTCCTCTCTCCCTGCTTTCCTTTGCTTCAATGAAAGAGATGCAGAAATTACTAAATTTGGTGTCCTTGAAGCTAAAGGAACATGTGCACTTTGTATGAACCCAGTAAATATTAACGAGCAAATATAAAAGAGATAATGGCCCAGATGGAGCAGAGTGGCTGTTTCTATTATGGGTGTTGTTTGAATTATCCATTAAATCCATGGAATGACTGACAGGCTGTGAAAGAAAGATGCAAGGTGCTTGTAAACTGGATATGTTCTGCCCTGTCAGTGACAGAAGAGAAGGGAAGGATCCAGTTTTCCTATCTCTGGCAAGTGAGTGAGTGATACTGAAAAGTCTACCAAGCTGTATCCAGGGTTGTTGCAATATAGTGGAAGGAATGTGGCATGCATGCTGAATTGTGGTGACATGTACTTTATTCTGATAAACATGGCATCCTACCATGTGGAAAGAAAACAGAAACCACCTGAGGCTAAAATCTTGTCTCAGTTATCTGAGGAAAAGAGATAGCTGTGATAGAGGCCTAGACTTGCACCTGGCAGATGTTAGGGCAGGATCTCTTTGAGCCATTTCTCATTTTTAATAGCAAAGTCCTCTTGACTGTTTAACTGTACTTGAGCCCTTGGAATCTCCCCTGACAATTTGCTTATTCTTCAGTAAATAAACTGACCCTCAAAGGGAGAGTTCCCTTCTACACTGTTCTCCAAAGCAGTTTCAGAGGCCTAGAACATTATTCACATTTTTCCTTGGACCTGTTGCCTAAAGGCACCTGGTTATTGGAGTGTATTGGCCTGTTACACTATGTTAGTGGACAAAATTGGAAGTTTTCAGTAAAATATAACTTACCCAAAGTTGGGAAATTAAATCCCACCTCCTTGAATGGGGTGTCTGTCTGTCTGTCTGTCTGTCTGTCTGTCTATCTATCTATCTATCTATCTATCTATCTATCTATCTATCTATCT